CTCAATACATATCGTAGGAATTAATTCCATATGAATTTACTAATTTTCCGGATTAAAATTCGAAATTCATTTCAAAAATCAATATTGGGGCCCACGTCTTCGAATCTCAGAAAAACTTATGAAATCTGAATATTCATTCCAATACGAGTCCAACCATACAAAAATTATCAGATTCCGATGTCAAATGGACCTTCAAATCTTACATTTTCGTTTTTGGAAAGTTTTACAAAAATTCCTATTTCTTCCATCTAAATCCGAAATAAATGATGAATATAGACATGGATTTATGAATTATAATCACTCTTAGTTATAGAACACTTAACCAATCCAAAGTCGTGAAAACCCCTTTTGGAATCGCTTAAATATGAGACTCAAAATTCAAAAATGAGTAATTTGGTTAACTTCCGATTTTATGGGTTCTGTCCAGGCATTTTCGCATATGCGGACACTTGACCGCATCTGCGGTTTCCGCATCTGCGAACCCGCATCTGCGGTCTAAAATCCGCAGGTGCGATTACACCAGAAGGCCAAAATTTCAGGTTTTCTTTAAGTCCAAATTTTGATCCGTTAACCATCCGGAATCCACCCGAGGCCCCCGGGACCTCAACTAAATACACCAACAAGTCCTAAAATATCATACGAACTTAGTCGAGACCTCAAATCATATCAAACAATACTAAAACCATGAATCATACTCCAATTCAAGCTTAAGAAACTTAAGAATTTTCAACTTCTACATTCGATGCCGAAACCTATCAAATCAAGTTCGATTGACCTAAACTTTTGCACACAAGTCATAAATAACATAACGAACCTATTCAAATTTCCAGAATTAAATTCCAACCCCGATATCAAAAAGTCAAATCCGTGGTCAAACTTTGGAAATCTTTAACCTTTAAATTTCTAGTTTTCGTTAAATGGCCATAACTTGAGCTAGGAACCTCCAAATTAAATTTTGGGCATACGCTCAAGTCCTAAATCACAATACGGACCTACTGGAACTGTCAAAATACTGATCCGGATCCGTTTGCTAAAAATATTGACCAAAATCAACTTAATTGAGTTTTAAAGCTCAACTTTTAATCATTTTTTCACATAAAAACTTTTCGAAAAATTATACGGACTGTGCATGCAAGTCGATAAATAATGAATGGTGCTATTTGAGGTTTCAAAAAACAGAAATAATTATTAAATTTAAAGATGACCTTTTGGGTAATCACAAATTACTACACCAAGATATCACTTACAAATTAATATTTTGTCCAAAGATGAAATATTAATGGAGTGATGGGTATCTTGAGATGGGGTTTACATTTATTCAAATTTATTTTTATTTTGATTTTAAGTATTATGTGAGCTTATTTCATTATTTGTTATTCTCTGATATAGCTGAAATTACTCCTGCAAATATTACTGCCAACATCAATTCAATTCCTATGTTGAATGGCACTAACTTCAAGTCATGGCAAGAGAACTCAACATAGTTCTCAGAATCATAGATCTCGACCTTGCGTTAAGGGTTGATTCTCCACCACCTCGTATAGATAAGAGTACCTCTAATGAAAAGAGGGAGATAGAAAAGTGGGAGAGATCAAATCACATGTGTATGATGATCATGAAGAAAGCCATTCCAGAAATATTCAGGGGTACTATGTCCGACAAGGTTAAGACGGCTAAAAGGTTTATGGCTGAAATTGAAAAGTATTTGTCAAGAGTGAAAATGTTGAGATTGGTACAGTCTTGACAAGTTTGATTTTAATGAGGTATCGAGACAAATGTAACATCAGGGAGTACATCATGCAAATGTCTCATCTTGCTTCTAAGTTGAAAGCACTTAAGTTGAATCTCTCTAAGGACTTGCTAGTGCATTTGATTTTGATATCCTTTCCACCACAGTTTAGCTAATGTAAGGTGAGCTATAATTGTCAGAAAGAGACTTGGGTCTCTAGATGAGGTCATCTTACACGTTGTTCTGGAAGGGGATAGACTGAAGCAAGAAAAGATAGAAAGTGCTCACTTAATCGTTGTGCCTAAGGACAAAAGAAAGGGTTTCCTGAACTATCGAAAGTCTAATGATGGTGAAAGATACATCTACGATGGTGACGGCAAATCGGTTGAAGCCAAAGCAATTGAAACTTTTAGATTATTGTTAAGAACCGATTTTATTTGAATTTGAACGATACTTATGTTGTACCCTTTTTAGATGAAATTTGGTTATGTTTCTGTACTAGAGAGGTTTGGTTATTTTTATTTATTTAAAAATAAAAAAAAATAGTCTCTTTCGTAATTCAAAATTGGTTGGTCCCAGTTCTTTATCGGGTTACAATAATTTATACTTATTTGATTTGATTACTTCGTTTGATGAGCCTTGCATGTTAACATAACTGGTAATAAGGGTAAATTAACCATCTAATAGCCAACTTCTTTATGTCATGAGAGATTAGGTCATATCTCTAAAGGAGAATTAAGAGACTTCTGTCCAATAAAATTTTATATACCCTTAATTTTTCAAAAATTTTATCCCACTACTAAGATTACTTTTTCCAATAATGTGAAGTTCTTTGAGGATGTTGAGTTTGTGGGGGGAGGGATTTAAAGACTTTGTCTTTGAGGAGGAACATATTGATATTCCTCTAATTGTTATTGTCAATGCTCACAAACAACTTTTTATACCTGACATTATTCAAGAAATAAATTTGGATCAAAGACAATATCATTCAGCCCGTCATTCAAGAAGTAGTTCCCAAAGAACAAACTCTACAAGCTCAAGAATAAATTTTAAAAAAAAAAATTATCTATGGACTTAAGAAAGTGTCTCATTAATAGTATTACTAATTTCATCAAGTTATTGTCTTATTTGGTTTCGCGATAAATCTTGTTAATTATTGTGTATACCACAAGTTTAGTGGAGTAAGTATATTTTTTTATTGTGTGATGTATGATTAGCTTTGTATGCGTCTGAATATCTCATTTAATTTAGGGATGTTGGGCAGATATTTAAGCAATTTATAAACTTATCTTTTAAAAGTAGTGTAAAGGTTCAAAAGGTAATTACAGAGAACAAATACTTTATGCTCACATAAAGGAAGTCGAAAAAGTTAAAGATAATCAGGTATTTGAATATCGACTTATTTAGATGCTGATATAATATGACATACTTGGTTGATGAGCTATATAAGGGAGAGTGTTAAAACGAACACTCATAGCTCTTTTCATCGAGGCAGTTAATTTATAATATATTATGGAATATCTGATTATGGAATATGACCGCAAAATTTTATCACTGACTACAATTTATGGATAAAGTTGAAAGCACACTTGAGTTATTTTGTGATAATAAGTTGGCAGTCTCGTATTCCAATAACAACAGGAGTTCGGTAAAAGTCAAAATACATTGACATAAAATTCCTAGTTGATAAAAAAAAAAAAAAAGAGTTCAGAGTGGCTAGGTATCTATAGAGTTTATTGGTACAAACTTCATGGTTGTGGATCCACTTACTAACGGACTACCAGCCAAGGTTTTCATGAGCATATTGCTCATATGGGTGTCATGTCATTTAAGAATATTCAGTTTCAGTGGGAGTTTGTTACCTCTTAAATGTTCTTTATGAACACAATTGGATTTTAGTTTAAGGTTTCAGGTAATGATTTCAGTTTAAGGATATTTAAGGTTATTTCTGCAAAAATAAAATATCCAGTTTATTTTTTACTCTGACTTATTTTTCAGTTGGACCAGTTGGAAATAGGCATGCTTGGATCACATTGCATGTAATTTTCATGCTACATATCCATACTTGATCTATGGCATTTGGTTATGTTGGTATTTATGATCAAGGAAGGTTTAGTTACGATAAATGTAATAAAAGCCGCCTTGGTCCAATATTGCATGATTGATGGACGAGATTGTTCGGAGGTACTTTGATTTATGATAGCAAATATGTTTGAGCTCGTAAGGTGACATACAATTATAAAGTTATATGTACATATATATGTGTCGTCCAAGTGGGAGATTGTAAGAGTTTATGGACTTGCACATATATTTTGTATTAAGAATAATTGTATGTTGGTTGCTATCGTTAAAAGGTTGCCCCAAATTAAAAGTGATCTGCTAAGGTTTAAAGTTAAATGGTTTATAAGATACCTCCTAAAGTATAGGGTCTTATGTGTAGATGCTCAGATATAACTTCCAATTTAATAATGAGCTATAAACATGTACAACTATAAATGGATTATGGTCCCTAAATCAGACATAGGATTTTCTTTTCTAACATCCCATCATTGAAAAAGTACGTGTTGATTTGGAAGACCACTAACCGCAAGACGAGGAGTTTCATTTGTTCTTATGGATTCAGGTACACTTGCGCATCTAGTTTTTATTCTCGATGATTTGACATGATAGTTCTTGGGTAAAAGATGATATTTTTCATCTTTAAAGTAAATTGGTTCTAACAGGATGTACATATTATCATCTTTACATCATAATTTTCTGTTTTTACTGGCAGTCCTAGCATAGTAGTTGTGGCTGTATATGAATGAGGTTATATATATAGTGATTCTCGCAAAGGTTTTTCTTTTGTTTGGGGGGAGGGGGAGGGGAGCTTGTCACTCCCTCCTCTCCTTTTCAGTAGAGTTGTCATTTCACTTATATTATCAGTAAAAGAAATAATACCATCATTCTAATAGAAAAATTCGTCAGATCAGTTGCACTAAGAAGGTTCTGAGTCATCACTATAGCTAATATTAAAAGTGATCAATATTTGCATGTTGTACTTCTGAATGTATGGGACCTAAACGGGAATGAAAATCAGTCCAAAAGATCAGATCTTCAATACTATTTGCGTGTACTATATCTTGATCTAACATATACGTAATTAAGAATATCATCAAATTGTATGTTTCAAGAAAACATGGCTAGTTGATTTTACTCTCTTTTAGTTGTTGTCCCACCAAAATTGTGCTTGAAGATAATCAATAACTTTTTCGTGAACTTGGAATAATTGTTAATTGGTGGATCGATCTGACCCAGATACTGCATTTGCAGTAGTGATAACTCCTGGATTTTGGCTACTGAGACCATCCAAAGCAATGGCATTAGTCTTACTCACATTAAGTTGAAAATGGATATATAAGACCCCAAGGAAAAACGAAAACATCTCAGGTGTAAATCTTGCTGAAGTGCTTGTTCTTCCCGTAAGAACAACAAGAACCTCATGAGTTCCTCTAGGATGTGTATGGGTTGGATTAAGACCACGTCGTGCAAAATCAATACGAGCTAAAGAAATGCCTGAGTATTAGGTCCAGCTAAATTGTTGACGTTTATAGCAGTTATACAACTGATCCAATTTGATTTGATGTATTTCCAGGTTTGTTTAGGTTTGGTCCGAAGAAGTCATCAGCCATGACAAGTTTTGGGTCCTTGCAATTTTTTCCATTAATGAAAACTGTATAAAAAGAAATTAGAAAATCCCAATCTACATTTTATTATAAAAGTAGGAACCTCAAAAGTGAAAAATTAAATTATCCAAATATCCTTCTAAATAACTTAAATATCATATTTATAAAAAAAATAAAAAATACTAAAACTCTTCGTACCCCTTCGTTAATTAAAAGTCACAACTGTTCCATTTCTTCTCCATTCTTATTTTTTCTGATATTCGTACGAGGCATCTTTAATCATTTTTTCTTCCCCCTCCCCCCCCTTGGTTCTCCAAACAAGAGAAACAAGAAGGATGTTTGAGAATGTTTATTCTGGAGGCACCACCATACATACGCCTGATTCTGGTAAAGTTTTTCAATAGCTTTGCTTTGAGTCTAAAGATCCGTTTATGTTGGCTGCACTGCTACACCTTTTGCTTCTTATGATTGATACACTTATTCTTAAATGGACATATACTAATATATATAGGTAAAATGGCCTCCGTGCCACCGTAACTTGTACTTGTTTTTCAACCCGGTAAATGACCTTACAGGTTTCCCATTTAAACACTTATACTTGACGAAATGAGTACCAATAAACACCTCTGACCATTGACCAAGCCTATGAGGCAACAATATATGTGACATGTGTCACGTCCCAAACTACCCATAGACGTGATTAGCACCCGACTAACACTACCTTCCATGCGAACCCGTTTCTCATACATTTAACCATTAAAACAAACACTAAGAGAAAAGTAAGTGCATGTCTCAAAGTATTATGAATAATTAAAGATGAAATAGTTATCAACTAATATCTTAGCAAATTGATAGAAAAAAACCAACAATCACTCAATATATCAAACTCTAGCCCAAATTCTACTCCAAGACCATGGAGCATCTAACAGTAATATGAATTTAACTGGCGGATATGAACAACCCCAAGGAAAAGGAAATTAACTAACACGAATTACATAAAGCTGAAAAGAAAGCCTCCACGAACAATGCGGTGGCTCACCTTAGCAATAGGATCCACTCGAACGAACTCGTCAGTCACTAGCTCTATCTCCCGCAACGGTATCTGCATAGAGATGCAGGTAAGGAGTGAGTTATACATAGATATAACCCAATAAGATCCTCGACCTGCCACATTGAATACCTCTGGAACAAGTATTAGAAAATACAAATACGCCACAATAAGAACGATATAATAAATACGATGATTATACAATAACTAAATATATACATATCAACGGAGTTAATAAGAATTAACCAACAAGAGTACACAGACAGTACACACTAAGGACTTATCATAATTGCAATGAAAGAAATTTACCAACACCTTTACAAGTCCTGAATGACACCACAATGCATCAAATATGTAACGAAGCATACACAATGCTTACTGAAGCATACACAATGCCCCAAATATATATCAAGAAGCATACACAATGTCCCAAATATATATCAAGAAGCATACACAATGCTCGGGTGATGTACAAAGGCCTACACAATGCCCAAACATCATGGCTCACAGACGTATCAAACTATCAAACGCAATATCATGGCTCACAATCATATCAAACTCAACACCATGGCTCACAGCCGTATCACGCCATCAAACAACTTATAAAAAAAATTCTTATATTTTTCATAAAATAATGTATTTGCGGCTAGTCTAAAACCACCGATTCTGCCAAGCGCACGATTGTCCCAACACATGGACCAGGCAGAGAAAAACACATTTTCAAAACGGATTTTAGAAAAGAAAGCATCAAAACTTAAAGTCTCACTTACCTCACTAACGACATGTACCCCAACCTTGCGACATTCAAAACATCAGCCAAACGGCATTTAATAGCCTCTATCTCTCGATGCAAAGTAATAAAGCTCGACTTCTTATCAATCCAAATGCTCAAACTGTGTGAAACCTATAAATTAACATATGTCTAGTGTTACCTCTCCCATCAACTCCATAATCCATATCTCTAAACAAATATCTGTCGCAAATTCACGTTTCTATTCTCAATATCTTTCAGCTTCTGCCAAGTATACTAGAAACCTGCAAGGAATAGTAATCAATAGGTTTACTTGTCTATCTCTTCATATTAGTTTTACAAGAATACAACATATGAATTTAGCATCTTTGCTGTTACACCCAAACAATTTGGAATATAATTCTGATCCAAAACGATTAGTTTGTTACTTTTTCTATTCTATTTTTTGAAGCAAAATTAAAAGAATTCTACTGGAAAACCCAGATTGGGAGTTTTAAGTACATACCCGAAATTATCAGTAAGTATACGAGATTTCTTAGTTGGTAATCTGTGTAAATATCTAATTTTTGCTATTTCTATTTCTCCTGCATTATATTTTTTCTAGGTTTATTGCGTGTGTTTATAGACTTTAGCATTAGATTATTAATTAATTTGTTAAGAGGTTTAAGGATTTGGATTAATGCCCATTTCAGTTGAGTTATGCACAAATCAGGCCTAATTCTTTAGCCCAATTCGGTCGACCCAGTCCAGTAGATGGTTGGCCAAGACTTGGTTCAAAACGGCATAGTTTCATGATGAGTCTACGCCGTTTCATTAAGTGAAACCAAGACTCAATCTCACCCATCCATTCCCTCGTGATCCAACGTCTCTAAGTCAATCCCCTCCCTAAGTATTTAAAGTTTAGAATCCCTGAAAATTGCCTCTTGTTTCCCCTTATTTCCTCTCTTCTTCCTCTCTTTTCACTTCCCCCCATCTCCCTCAAGACCTCGTCGTCCACCGCCCTACTCCGCCGCCGGGAATCGCCCACCGGCGACGGCCGTCCAACAAACCACCCCAAAATTTCACCACTTCTTCCTCTCAACCTCCTCAAGCCTCATATCCTCCAAACCTCCACCAATATTTGTAGATCTAACCCCAACTGAAACCCTAGCCGCCCTAATTTTTCTTCTTTCTTTCTCAAATTCGTGACAAATCCGACCACTCCACCCTACAAATCTTACATAAATGTGTAGATCTCAAGGAGATCTACACTTTCCCTCAAGATTTACCCCGAAACTCTAAATTTCTACACCACCACCGCACCATTGCCGTCGCACCACTGACTCTGTACTACCCCCAAACACCGCGTCTCCGTTTAAATCCACTTCTCGACTCAAAGACGCTCGTTTCCTTTTGGCAAGACGCCGCAACTCATTTTTTTTAGCGTATGCTAGAAAGAAACACGCATTTCGGGGTCGGACAACCGCTATTCAATGATTCCGATATCATCTCATCGCTCGATTCGACCTCGAATGTCCCTAGATTTGGGTAAACTCAAACCCTAATCTTTTCCTCCATGTTTCTGATTTTTTTTTTGTTTCCTACTATTTGACTGTAGTTTTTAATATAGTGTAAAATTCATTGTTATTTCATCTATCTTCGTAGTAATTTCGTGTATTCACTTGTTTATTAGTTTGATTAGCAGTTATTTATCTCTTGATAATTAGGGCTATTTAGTTGTCAATGTGTTGAGTTTCTGTCTATTCAACTGTGTTGTTTAGTCATAGTTGTTTTAATGAAATAATTAGTTGATATGTGATATGTTAAGCGGATGGTTTCAATTAGTTAGTTTGGATAACACACTTGTTTTGTTTGATCTTTAGTTATTAGATTCTGAGTTTCCCTTAGTTGGTTTATAGTTCAATTTCTAAGTCTAGTTATGTGTCTTTCTATCTTAGTTTGGTTTGAATCACATAGGTTGGTACTAATATTGTAAGAGCTGAAATTTAGGTTATTTTATCATAAAATAGGGCACTAGTAGCCTACTTTTTACTAGTAAGGTAACAGAAATGATATTTTTTCTCATTGCTTCTACTATAGCAGATTTTCAGGCTGTCCTTTCACCCTTTAGACAGCCTTTGAACAGTGTTTAGCACACAAAGTCAATTCTTTTTTGACAGACTTTTGGTGTACCAAAATGTCACGACCCAAATTTCCCCTTCGTATAACGCCGTGATGGCACCTAGTCTCTACGACTAGGTAAGCCTAACATTCGCGAAATAATAAAATAAAAACAAAGTTTTAACACCCAACCGTTCAAAAATACACAGCAAATCCCAAAACCCGGAACATCGTGAATCATAACCTACAGAAGGAAAAATCTAGTGTCTCTATACATCAGAATTCTAACAAGGAAAATACAGAAGATAATAGACATAAGAAAGAGTAGAAGGGGACTCTGAGGTATGCGGACGCAGCAGATATACCCTGAAGTCTCCAAAGTTGTCCCGGCTCACTGATAGTGCGGCTGATAAGGTGTACTTTGATCTGCACACACGCAAAAAATATGTGCAGAGAGTAGCATGAGTACACCACAATCGATATCCAGTAAGTGCCAAGCCTAACCTCGGTCGAGTAGTGACGAGGTCAGTCAGGTCCCTACTGGTAATTATATAATAAAATAATATAGAGTGTAATACCGCAATAAAATAAGGGCTTAAATTTAACATCAATGGAATCATAGAAGGTAACAGCTCAGTACACAGAAACACAACAGGGGATCTCCTGAGATACCGTCTCATAGTCCCAAACGTAAATGAGCAGGGGGATCTCCCGGAATACCGTTCCATAGTTCCAAAGTAAATGTGCAGGAAAATCTCCCGAAATACCATTCCGTAGTCCCAAAGTAAATGTGCGGGGCAAGTGATAGAAATACAACTACATCACGAAATTCTTACATTTTAGCCTAAGTACCAGTCAGAAAAAAAGCATGAAAATTCACTAAGCATGCTACACACAATTCACATAAATAATTAAGACACGTAGAAATATTGTATTAGACTAAACATGATAGTTACACATATTGGAATAACTCAATTAAGAATGAAAATAGATTAGTATTCATTGAAATGGTATAACTCAAAATAACAGGAAAATATGTTGCTACTCGATAAGAAAATCGGGTTTTACCACAACTAGCCCATGTACATACTCGTCACCTCACGTACACGGCGCTCACATAGCACAATAGTTCCAAATCTTAAGGGCATTTCCCCCATGCAAGGTTAGATAAGCTACTTACCTCGAACCAAGCTCAATCAATCGGTCACAATACCTTTTCCATGAGTATCCGGCTCTGAATGGCCCAAATCTAGCCAAAAGCAATTACATATCATAAATACAACAATAATAGACTCATCTAATTAACGAAATCAACATTTTAACGAAAATTCCGAAATTAACTCAAAATTATCCGTGGGACCCACGTCTCGGAACCCAACAAAAATTACATAATATGAACACCCATCCAACCACGAGCCCAACCATATAAATTTCACCAAAATCCGATATCAATTCGAACCTCAAATCTTCAATTAAAGTCTATGAAGATTTGTACCATTTTCAACCTAATCTTTACCCGTTTGATCTTAACAATCTTTCCACAACCTTATTGGTATGTATACATATTACTCTTACACCCGAGAATCATATTATTAATCACCCATCTTTACTCCAAACTCGAAATTGAAGAATTGAGAAAAGAAATTCTTACCTCTTTGAAGCCCTAGCAAGATCCTTGTGAAATCTTCAAACCTTGAACAAGAATTGATGGATAAATGATTAAGTCTTCACTTTTTCTCTCTAAAATATCAAATTTTGGCTCAAAAATGAGCTTCAAGGGCTATAAATCGAAATTGGGTCGGGTCAAAAATTAGAAAGAATGGAAGCTCTGACGCAGTTATGCGGTCGCATTTGCGATCGCATAACAGGTATACGGTTCACATACCGGCCGCATAATTTGGCCTCCAAAGTTGGGCGTTACTGGCCCAGTCTGCGGTCATTTTGCGGTCCGCATACTTGTTTTGCGGTCACATAATGCACCGCAAAACAGGTTTGCGGTCGCATAGTGTACCGCAGATTTTTCTCAAATCTTGCCCGTCTACTGATCCACTTTGCGACCAATATGCGGTCCACATAGTGATTTTGCGACCGCATAGTGGTCGCAGAAATGACCCTTTTTCCGACAATAATTTTCTTTACACATCGGTGCATTGTTCAACCTAAAAAGTCAACACCCGGTCAACCTTTTCAACTTAAATTCTAAACATTTGAACTAAGTGCTTCAAATCATTTTAAAACCTCACTGGACCCAAACCAATTACCCGTCAAGCCAAATAACAATTGAAATTCACAATTTGAGCAGTAAATGGGGGAACAAGATTATAATACTCAAAACGACCGGCCGGGTCGTTACACAAAATCTGTCCAAAAAGTGACTTTCTTTGCCTACTTAAGGGTTGTCCTTTCCTCACTTTACACATGCACACACACACACTATGATACTAAGAGATCATCTTTTACACTTAAAAAGACACATACGTATCTTTGAGAAAAATCACCAGTTAAATACTAATAGTAAGCTGAAAATTATGAGCTTTGTGAGTGTTTCTTAGAGTGCAAAACCTTTGAAAAAAATAGAAAGATCCCTTAAGCAATTTGTGAAGTTTGTTTAGCTACTAGTTTCAAGCATCCTTGTTGGTTTTGTGGGCTGTTTTAACACTGAAAGGTTGCTGTCTTTATTGTTGTTTTTGCTGCTATCCCTGCTGATCTTACTGTTGTACTTTTATTATTCTACGACTCAAGTAACACTTTAACCTTATGTTGCAGATATTTTCACATTAACAAGAAGATTTGAACTCATCTTGACTACTGGGAGCATCTCCATCTAGATAAATGAATGTTAGATAGTTTTTCTTGATTGTTTAAGTATATCTTGTTGGATTCATATGTAAAAATGAATCCCTGAATGCTAAAATAGTCTTTATTCATGTGTAGCTGGACTTTATTATCTAATATAGTTTCAATGCATATAAAATGATATGTTTCAAGTAGGTTGTAACGTGTTTAAGAACTATTTTTACACCTTGTGTAATTCTGGCAAGTTTATGTTAGGCCATTCTTTAAAGAAAAGAACAAAACAGCCATGCCTGAAAGCTTTTA